TTGACCCCTTTATCACTATATAATGTCCATCTTTATCTCTTCTGACAAACTTTGCCTTAAAGTCTACTTTGTCTGATATTAAGATTGCCACCCCAGCTGAGTGAAAGCCATTTGTTTGAAGTTGGATAGTGACAGAATTGGAACTAGCATACAGCTCTCCTGGTTCCAAGACCAGTGCTCTTTAAAATGCCGTAGCGCAGAGCATAGAAACGGCCATTTTATAAGGCTTAATTCAGATAGAGACCAGGGTTCTACAGCTTGGAAGAGCACTTGCGGATCATCAGTAAATCTAAATGTCCATCTGAGATCTTCTGGATGAAAGTCAAAAACCACATGACTATGGACAGCAGAGAGAAAAGATTTCAGGGGTTTCCTAATGCTAGTCATTTCTACCTCTTGGATGCCACTTAAATGGATCCATTTCTCCCTGCCTCCCTTCTAGTCAATCTGATACCCATCATTTTATCATCCAAATGCACTCTTGCCCTTACAATAAAGTCCCAGGTCCTCAACACGGACCACAAGGGCCTGTGTGCCCTGCTTTCTTCTTGCTCTTCCAGCTTCACCCTGTTCACCCTTCCCTTCTTTCTCCACTCCAGCCAGGAATAGCTTCTCAAAATTCCTCAACTAGGCCATGCTTTTTATTTTTTTCTTTCTCTCAACTCTGTCTAGATAGCTTAGTTTCCTTTCCACCTAGATCTATGGGTCTCAACCAGGGGACACCTGGCAATGTCTGGAGATGTTTTTGGTTGCCACAACTGGGGGGTAGGGGGGGCTTGCTACTGTCATCTACTGGGTGGAAGCCAGAAATGCTGATAAACATCCTACAAAGCAGGACAGCCCCCCACAACAAAACATCAGCCCAGAATGTCAATAGTGCCAAGGTTGAGAACCCTGACCTTCATAACACTGAGTCTTCAGGTCCCAGTTTAAAGACCACTTCTTCTAAGAAGCCCTCCCTTGATACCGTAGGTTGAGTCCCTCCCCTGCCCCTATATGTTTCCACATTCTTCCCTTCTCCTTCACTGTACTTGGGCCACATGTGGTTATTTGAGGTAATGTATCATCTGCCTTCCCCACCAGTCTACCAGCTCCAGGAAGACAGGGGTGAAGTGTTTGGTTCATCACCTGATCTGCAGTGCCCTGCATGGTGCCAGCACAGTTAGGCATCACATTTTGCCTTGCTGGCCCTACACTACAGAGGAAATGCAGTATGCACAGATGGCCTGTCTTTCACCAGGGTTGGCAATGGGCTCCAAGGGCTTCAGATGCCGGCCTGCAGATACCTCAGTGGTGAAGAGAACAGTCTTGGGAGTCTGGCAGAAGTGGGTTGATATCCTAATTCCTCTACCTCCTAGCTGAGTGGCCTTCAGCAAGTTACTTAATTCTCTGAAACTCAGAATCATCATCTATAAAGGAAAGGTAAAGATAGAACTTGTTTCATAGAGTTGTTGTGAAGATTAAAAGACTAAGTGTAAGTAAAGTACTTAGCACCACCTCTGACATAGGGTAAGGAGTTGATAAGTATAAGAAGAACACAGTGGCCAGCCATGGGCCACTGTGACCTATTCAAAGGGTCCACTATGGGCAAAGGGTCCACCTGTTTAGTGGGCACAGTGACGTGGAAAGAACAATCAGAAGGCAGCCAGGCAGCCTCTCCTTCTTAATTTCTGCAACTCTAAAATGTGCACGCAAACATCCCATCTTACCCATCCTATGGACTTGCTATATGTATCCCTAGTAGCTCCCCACCCAAAGCAGAGATGTACTTAAAAATCACCTACAGGTACAACTGAAAGCAGCTCTCCAGACTGTTTCTTACCACCCCCTCTACTGCTTTTGCCCCTTAAGAGCTCTGACCTGGCATCCCTGACTTCTTATCTGGATGTCACCTCTTCCCAGCCCTTTCAGGACAGCAGCCCAGTTGAACCCTACCTAACTTTAGGTTTCTCCATCTTCCTGGGCTCTGCCTCATGTCAGCAGGGACTCCACACCCTGTTAACAGCCTGGCCAACCACCAGGCCTGAATTCCTGGTACCTAGCCAGGTATCCCAGCTCCCATTAGATCTGAAAGAGAATATGAAACATTTTTACCAAATGAGTTCCAGAAATTGCCTACTGTAGTCCCTTTTACTCTTGGACATAGTCCCTGGGTTGTGCAGTTAACACACTCAGCTGCTAACAAAAAGGTTGGAGGTTCCACTCTACCCAGAAGCACCTTGGAAGAGGGCCTGGCTATCTACTTCTGAAAAATCAGCCATTGAAAACCCTATGGAGCACAGTCTACTCTGACACACATGGAGTTGCCATGAGTCGGGGTTGACTCAACAGAAACTGGTTAACTGGTTACTCTTGAGTGGGGAAACAGGCCTCTTTACTTCCTTTCAGCCCCAATTTAGACATTCAAAAACTGTTTTTAAAAGAAACAAAGATCCATTTCCTAGACTGCTCGGGTCAGCAAACAGAAGTGTCTCTCTGAAGATGGAAGGCTGGACAGGAAGAAGGCCACTGCTCAGCCTACTCTAGAGGAAGTCAAACAGGGCACATGGAGGCTACAGACAGGAAATCCTTTAGCTCTGGGAGCAGACGTTGGAGCCAAGTCCCACACAGGTAGCAACCAGGGATGTTCATATGCAGGAAACTCTACACAGAAACCCTTCCCCACCTGCACCAAAGAGCAGACTCCAACTCATAGGGTGAGGAGGAAGACAGAGGGGTCTAAGACCCACAGCTGAGGGAGGAGAGGAGCGGGGGGACTGTGGCATCAGCTCAGTGGGATGGACCCTGTGGTGCACCAGCACAGTGTGGTTCACAGTGAACCACAGGCGCCCAAGGGTTTAGCAGTTCCCCCCACAAAGCCGACAGACCTTACTGAAGTCTCTTTCCTGACAAAACAGAGGCAAAGATCAGCCTGCCTCCTTGCTACCCTGTGGCTGCCATTGACTGTTGCCTTCCTGCCCTCCGGCCAGTGAAACCTGAAGGGTCAGTTTCTAGATCTGGGCTGATTCTCTTTCACTTCCTGGTTCTCACACCTTCAGCCTGAGAGACTGTGTGGTTCACCTCCTCCTCGCTCTACAAAAGGATGATTTTTGTTTGTTCATCCAAAGTTTTCAGTGAAAGGTCTGCAAACTTAAAAAGAAGCTCAGCAATTTGGATACCTGGGAAGCTATTTAAAGGGTCAAAACAATGAAGTTAGGTTCCTTTAAGATTCAAATCAGTTCAGAGGTCGTCAGAGGCTAAAGACAAGGAGGGAATGGTGCCTGACTGCTTAATGGGTGCGGGGTTTCCTTCTGGGGGGAAAAAAATGTTCTTTGAACTAGAGAGTGGTGATGGTTGTACAGCATCATGAATGTACTAAATATTGCTAAATTGCACACTTTAAAATGGTTAAAATGGTGAATTTTACACTATATAAATTTTACCAAAATTTAAAAAAATCAATTTATCATTTTTAAAAAAAGATTAAAATCAGTGATCGCCTCCACCCAGAGGCAGTGCTTCCAAGGGGAGAAAAATCTGAGCATAGGGACAGAGCATCAGCATCTTCCCCAATCCACCCAGCCAGGTTGTCCCTGCACCTATTCCTTTGAAGAGGCAGACAGGTGCCTTTTCCCTTTTTTGTCATCCCTCAAGTGTGTAACACACCTCTTTGCCCATAGTCAGTGCCTACTAAATAAATAGTTAAGTGAGTGAATGGAGGCAGAAGTGGCTCAGCAGGGCAAGGATTAGGGTAAGGCAAGTGAGAAACCTAGGGCACAAGATTTAAGGAGGCCCTCACTGCGCTCATTCTCCAGGGTCATGCAAGCTTCCTCAGCCTAGTCCTGCTCTAGTGGCTCAGAGTTGGTGAGAGAAAGTTTCAAGGGGAGATGGCTGTTTATGGAATGGGAAGGGGTTTCCACCATGGGCACCTGCCAGCCTGGGCTTCTTGCCTCGGTTGCCCCAGCCTCTAGGTCGAGGTGTGCCCTGTATGAGGCTGGTCACCTTCCCGTCAGAAGGTCCCTGCTCTCAGGATGAAGGGGAACTTGAGGGAAGTCAGAGGCAAATGTCACTGATGTGGGAACTGAAAAGAGTTATAATGATATTAACTAACACTTTCTGAGTGCCTACTCTGTGCCAAGCCCCATGTTAAGTACTTTATAGCCATTGTTTTATATAATCCCCCCAACAACTGAATAAGGAAGAACTTGGGCTCTGGAGACAGATGGCTTTGGTTTAAATCCCAGCCTTGCCTCTTTCAAGTGATGTGACGTGGGAAAATTACTTAACCTGGCTGGGCCTCAGCTTCTTCATCTGGGAAATGGGAATAATAATTGTACCTAGATCATAATGTCCTGAGGATTATATCAGGTAATACATCTAAAGCAATGAGACAAGCATCTGGCAAAAGGTAAGCACAAGGTAATAAATGTTGTTTGAGTCAGCCCCCGACTCATGGTGACCCCATGCACAATGGAATGAAACACTGCCCAGTCCTGCACCATCCCCATGATCAGTTGCAGATTGGACCATTGTGAACCATAGGGTTTTCATTGGCTGATTTTCAGAAGTAGATTACCAGCCCTTTCTTCCTAGTCTGTCTTAGTCTGGAAGCTCCACTGAAACCTGTTCAGCATCATAGCAACATGCGAATCTACACTGACAAGACCAGTGGTGGTTGTGCTTCAGGTGCATTGGCTGGGACTCAAACCCGTGTCACCCACATGGAAGGCGAAAATTCTACCAGTGAACCACCACTGCCCCCTCGACAAATGTTAGCCATGGTTATTATTATTATTGCCTCTTGTAGCTTAGCAAGGCTAAGTACCTTGCTCAAGGTTATACAGCTTGTTAATGATGAAACTGATCCTGGGACCCAGTATCATTTGATGACAAATCCCATGGTATAAACCACCACACCACATTGCTAAACCTTCTCTGAGAGAAAGAATCAAGAAGAGACCATCAGACCTTGCTACCATTGTGTTGATGGCATTTTCCCTTCTTTCTCCCTTCTTCCACAGCCTGCCTGCTCCAGGCTGAGCTGGTGAACTACGAGCGAGTCAAGGAGTATTGCCTCAAAGTCCTGAAGAAGGAAGGGGAGAACTTCAAGGCCCTTTACCGGTCAGGTGTGGCCTTCTACCACCTTGGGGACTATGACAAAGCACTCTATTACCTGAAAGAAGCAAAGACTCGACAACCAACAGGTAAGGCAGCCATTACTGTTTTCTCACTCTCAACCTCCTCTGGCAGCTCCTAGGGCTTCTCATTGGGGTGGTTGATTTTCATGGGTAGGAGGACCAGGCAGGGGCAGAAAGGGCAAATAAGGCATCAGGGTGTGTGCTAGGATCCAGAGTGAGGAAAGCACACAGTCCGTGCATTTGTCTGGAGTCTGAGTTCCAGGAAGCATGGTGCCTTTTCTCTTCAAGTGAAATACGGAATTCTTCGTCTTTTCCAACCCAGAATCCAGCTTGCTTCATTCATTCAATAAATACGTATTGAATTCTTACTATGTGCCAAGCTTTGTACTGGCCACCAGAAATATAGCTTAGAACACATGGTCCCTATCTGTAAAGACCTCACACTATTGCTGGTGAGAGAGAAGACGAACAGAGAATTTTAGTGCTAAGCCACCATCTTCCAGGCAGCATGCTCTCTTTTACTTCTCTGGTCAGATCCCATTCCTTACAGCATGTGTTATCTGTACCATTCACTTAGATCAAATCCATTAGCTCGCCCGTTCATTCATTCCACATTTATCGAGCAGCTACAGTAGGCCAGGTACTATTCTAGGTGCTGGATATATAGCAGTGAACAAACGAAAGTTGCTACCTTCAAGGAGCTTATGTTGTAATGGAAGAAGATGGAAGTAAACAAATGGACAAGTAAATAATGCAGTATTCACTTATGGTAAATGCTATGAAGGAGCCCTGGTGGTGTAATGGTTAAGCACTTGGCTGCTAACCGAAAGGTCAGCAGTTCGAACCCATCAGCAGCTCCATGAGAGAAAAGGCCTGGCCATCTGCTCCTGTAAAGATTACCGCCTGGAAAACCTATGGGAAAGTTGTGCTCTGTCCTGTAGGGTTGCTATGAGTTAGAATGGACTCAATGGCACACAACAACAACAAGTGCTATAAGAAAAGAAAGCAGAATAAAAGGCTAGAGTGATGGGGGTGCTGTTTTAGACCAGGTGGTCAGGAAGAGCCTCTCTGAGGAGGTAATACTTAAACAATGATTTTGACTTGATGCTGCTGTTGTTCATATGGTTTATTATTTTTTTAAATGCAATCCTCCTTCCAAGACGTCTTTAAGAACAGTAGGTCAATTTGCAAAAAGTATACCTTTTTTCTTTACCTTTTTTTAAGAACACTGATATCTTTATGTGTTGGTGGTTTGCTTTTTGTATATAACTCATTTTCCCCAACACTACGGGAAGCAGCATGAAGACTAAGAACTGAACTCATTCAACATTTTCTTGAGGATCTATTATATGCCAGCACTATTTTGGGTGCTATGCCTGGCATTTTTTTTTAATACTTTATTGTGCTTTAGGTGAAAGTTTACATATCAAATTAGTTTCCAATTCAATAGTTCATATACAAATTGTTCTGTAACATTGGTAGCAATCCCCACAAAGTGTCAGCGCTCTCCCCATTTCCACACTGGGTTCCCCATTTCCATTTTTTTAGTTTCCTTGCCCCTTCCTACCTTCTCATCTTTGCTTTTGGGGAAATGTAGCCCCCTTGGCCCCCTATAGTAGATTGTTCAAAAGAGCACCTTCCTCACAGGCATTATTGTCTATCCTTTGGGCCTATTATTTGACTGAAAGATGATCTCCGGGAGTGGAGATCTAACTTCAATTCCAAGTTAGAAGGGTGTCTTAGGGATATATTCCCAGAGGTTCCTCTGGTCTCTATCTGACCAGTAAATCTGGTCCTTTCTGTAAATTTGAATTTTGTTCTACAGTTTTCTCCCACTCTAACCAGGACATTCTATTGTGTTTCTGGTCAGAGCAGTCAGTGGTGATAGCCAGGCACCATCTAGTTCTTCTGGTTTTGGGCTAGTAGGGGAGGTTGTGGATCATGTGGGCCATTAACCTTTTGGACTAATATTTTCCTTGTGTCTTTTTTTTTTTTTTTTTCATTCTCCCTACCTTTGGATAGGATGGGACCAGTAGGAGTATCTTAAACGACTGCTTGAAAGCTTTTAAGACACCAGACGCTAGTCACTTTGGTAGGATGTAGAACATTATCTTTATGAATTATGTTGTGCCAATGGACCTAGATGTCACCCGAGACATTGGTCCTTAGCCTTCAAGCCCAGTATCTCAGTCCTGTGAGGTGTTTGGTAATGACTAAGTGGTTTCCATGCACAGTGGTTAAAGCAGCTGGCTGCTAACCAAAAAGGTCAGCAGTTCAAACCCACCAGCCACTCCGTGGGAGAGAGATATGGCAGTTTGCTTCCATAGAGATTGACAGCCTTGGAGACTCTATAAGGTCTCTAGGAGTCAGAATCAACTCAACAGCAGTGAGTTTGGTTTTTTGGTTTTTAAGTGGTTTCCATAGCTCTGCCCCGCTATGTGCTCTCTTATATATATGAATATACCTGCAGTACATCAAATATATATGTAAAAATATCCACAACCATACTTATTTATGGAGCACTGGTGGCAGTATTTAAGAGCTCTGCTGCTAACCAAAAGGTTGGCTTCGAATCCACCAGCCACGCCTTGGAAACCCTATGGGACAGTTCTACTCTGTCCTATAGGGTCGCTATGAGTTGGAATCAACTCAGCGGCAATGGGAAAACCTTTATGCATGCGGGTGCACTCTCCTACAACCTCCCTTACCTATTAAGCATACGTAATGTCAAAACGGCATGAGGGCAGTGTCTGCCCTCCTTTAACTTCACAAGGGGAAAGGAGACTCAACCAGCAGCCCAAGGCTGAATCCTACGGGCAGAGGTCAGACGTACCTTCTCTCTCCACTATCTTTGCCAGTTCCAACACCAACTCTCGCTCCCACAGCAGTCTCTACTTCTCTGCTGGGTTCAATAATTCATTGCAATGGCCACACAGAACTCACAGACTATACTCACAGTTATGGGGTTTATTAGGGAAGTAATAGGTTACAATTCAGGTTGAGGAATGCTCAGGATACAGTTCTTCCATCAGGACAGCCTCTTCCCAGTTGTACTCACAAGCACGCCTCTCCCTAGCCCTCAGTCTGCCCAAAGGCACTCAACTTTTTATCTTCGTGGGCTGAGAAGCCCACGGTGCAGTCTCCTGCTGTTGGATCTCTGCTGCCGGGTCTCTGCTGCTGGGTCTTTTCTGCTGATCTCTCCTTCCTTGGTGGTGGTGGGCTCTTCTTTTTCCCATCTCTGAGGTCACTCATTTCAAGTCCAGCAGGATGGCAAAACGGACCAATTCTCTTGGTAGGCCACAATTACCCTATCACACAGTCCTGCCCAATCACCTGGGTTGGAGTTACAAGACCATAGTAAGAAAGGCCACACAAAAGCAATCCATTACACCTCACATATCTACATGTGTGTCTACTCTTACTATTATTGCAGGTTTGTATATGCTATAGTATTTACTGTAGCTGCCCTTTATTCTTGTGTATCTCTCATTGTCTTCCTTTGCCTTGGTCACATTGTGCTAACTTCCCCCATCTTGTGTATTGCATTTCCCTTCACCAAAATTAACATGTGTCTGCTATCTAGTTATTTTCCCTCCCTCCCCTTCCAATGCCTGGTAATCATCAAAGAATGTTTCTTTCTATGTATAAACCTTTTCTTGATTTTTTATAATAGTGGTCTCATACAATATTTGTCCTTTTGTAATTGACTTTTTCACTCAGCATAATGTCCTTCAGATTCATCCATGTTGTGAGATAGTTCATAGATTCATCATTATTCTTTATCATTGCTTAGTCTTCTATTGTGTGTATGTACCATAGTTTGGTTATCCATTCATCCGTTGATGGGGACTTAAGATGTTTCCATCTTTTTGCTATTGTGAACAATTCTGCAATGTACATGATGTGCATATGTCTATTCATGCCATGGCTCTTATTCCTCTAGCATGTATACCTAGGAGTGGGATTGCTGGATCATATGGTATTTCTATTTCTAGCTTTTTGAGGAAGCGCCATGCCATTTTCCATAGTGGTTGGACCATTTTACATTCCCACAAGCAGTGCTAAGAGTTCCAGTCTCCCTACAACCTCTCCAACGTTTGTTATTTTCTATTTTTTTGATTAGTGCTAGTAATGTGGGGGTGAGAGTGTATCTCATCGTAGTTTTGATTTGCATCCCTCTAATGGCTGATGATAGCCAACATCTCTTCATGTGTTTGTTAGCCACCTGAATGTTTTCTTTGGTGAAGTGTCTGTTCACGTCCTTTGCCCATTTTTTAATTGGATTGTTTGTCTTTTTATTGTTGCGGTGTTGAAGTGTTCTATAAATTTTAGAGATTAGACCCTTTTCAGGTATGTCATTGCCAAAATTTTTTTCCCAGTCTGTAGGTTCTCTTTTTACTCTTTTGGTGAAGTCTTTTGATGAGCACAGATATTTAATTTTTAGGAGGTCCCAGTTGTCTAGTTTATCTTCTGCTGTTTGTGCATTTTTAGTTATATTTTATAGTCTATTTATGCCATAAATTAGGACCCCTCGTTTTGTTGCTGTGTTGTCTTCCATGAACTTTATAGTTTTAGGTTTTACTTTTAGGTCTTTGATCCATTTTGAGTTAGTTTTTGTATATGATGTGAAGTACGAATCCTGTTTCATTTTTCTGGAAATGGATATCCAGATTGCCAGCACCATTTGTTAAACAGACTATCTCTTTCCCATTTAATGGACTTTGACCCTTTGTTGAAGATCAGCTGTTCATAGATGGATGAATTTACTTCTGAGTTCTCAATTCTGTTCCATTGGTGTATATGTCTGTTGTACCAGGCTGTTTTAGTAGGTTCTGAGATCAGGAAGTGTGAGGCCTCCTACTTTGTTCTTCTTCAGTAATGCTTTATTTATCCAGGGCTTCTTTCCTTTCTATATAAAGTTGGAGATTAGTTTTTCTATTTTGTTAAAGAATGTTGTTGGAATTTGGATCAGGATTGCATTATATCTGTAGATTGCTTTGGGCAGAATTGACATTTTCACAATGTTGAGTCTTCCTATCCATGAGCATGGTATGTTTTTCCATTTA